AGTACATGGTGCATATGGCGGACATCCAGCATGCAGCCTTTCTTCACCATGCGTACACAATGCATGATAAACGCCTGCACATATTATGATTAGATGAATAGTCACTAAAGGTCAACAAATGATGAAATTTTATTCTAAAAGAAAAAAAAACATTTTCCAATTTCATTAGGCCCCACCCGCTTGAGACATGAATACCTGTTACAACTTTATGGCAGACTATTTGATAGCTGTTGAGACATTTCAGAAAGGCAAACCTGACTTCCATTGAGCCTATTACAAATGTTTTGTTTTTTTTAAACTATAATGCATTAAAGTGATGGGTACACGAAGGTACACGGGGAAATGTAAACGGTTTGCAAAGCAAACAGAGAATTAATCCTCCCACTTATGGCTGATTAAGAGTGTTTACTGAGTGCAAGTGATTGAAATAAGACAACGTAACATCCTATTGACAACATAATCAGCAGTACAAAGAATAAACAGAGTGAACTGCCAAGTCCCACATTATACATGAAATAGATGGATTAGATTTGCATAAATGCATAGTTAAGTCTAGGAGGCACTTCAATTGACCTGCCATACTTTATATTATGTGTGATATAAATGATACAATCAGTGCCCATCAGTAATCCAATAACACAAACACACTGCAGGTGCTGCAAACAAGAACTGTCTGCAAGAAGTCTATAATGCTCATCCCGATTGAAGTAAAATTGTGACAACTGTTTTTAATTCAAAGTAAACAATGAACTACTCCATGAGTAGTTTATGTGGTTAGTTGAAAGCAGGAATCATTTATCTTTGTGTAATGTGACACTGAATTTAAATATTAGCAGCGACTGTTCAGCGCCTCCTCATTTCCATCCTGATATATATGCATGTGTGGGAAGAAGAATGTGGAGTGGGAACGTAGGTGCGGAGTGAGACAGTAAAAATGAAAGTAAAAATAAAATAAGAAGTGGGAGATTGAGGGAGTTCGTTAGAATTAGAGATGGTGAGGTTTTTTTCTTTTCAGATATAGAGGGACAGACGGAGAGCTGGAGGAAGAGCTGCATTAAAGTAAAAAAACAAACAAAAAAAACAGCCAGGCACTATACCCCCACCCTTCACCACACACACCACCATACAGAACATACTGAGGGGAGATCCCACTCTGTTTATGGTACAACTTTATCCATTCTTGTCTTCTTAACCCGAGGTCAGCCTCAGTGATTTTACATTATTACTTTAAGAACTAATGCACAAACCAGATTAACAACAATGACCACGAACAACACAGGATTATAAAACAGTACAATCATCCTACAGAGGCTGCATGTCTGATGTCCACCCATCTGTCTCTTTCTGCATTCACATCAACAAATCCCTAACTGCATGTGTGTACGTGGGTGTGTTTTTGGTGGATATCTCCATGGTAACACTTCTTACCTTTTTGCAGAGACCAGATGTTGTCTCTTTGAGGGAGTTTTATCACCATTCCAAAGATGTTTGGCAGGAGAACAGATGTGTGTTTTTGTGTCACTAAAATTCCAGATGGTAAAGTATGGACTGTTGGATTTCACTATTTTACAAGTTAACACAGTGTGTGTGTGTGTGTGTGTGTGTGTGTGTGTGTGTGTGTGTGTGTGTGTGTGTGTGTGTGTGTGTGCGTGCGTGTGTGTGTGTGTGTCCTTGCATGCTGGGAATATTGATCTGGGTGTGGTTTACAGTGCACCAAGACAATTGTGCCGATGACAAGACATGGGCATGGGGGCCTCAAACATTGCTTAAACTCTCGACCTGATGCCTTTGAATTCTTCTGCTTTATTCTGCAAGCAGTTTGTTATTCAAAGAAAATATAAATGACCAATCTTCCATTCTCACATATTAATATTCGTGGTCATTAATATCTATCGCAGCATGCACTGCAACTGCACTAGATGCGTTCACAGTTATCCTGTGAAAACCTGATCTGGACTACAGAGAAAGGAGACCCACAAAATTTGAAAGAATTTATTGCATTTTGCACTTGGCAATAGAAAAGAAGAGGAAAAAACATAAAATTGTAGTAAGTCCACCTGCTGTTCCAAATAGGAGCAAGACTTCCACTTCCACTTCCACCTTTTCAGCACATGTATCCCCCCTGTGTAACTGAGGGCACCACCTGGCTGAAACTGACCCACATCCAGCTTTAATTTAGCTCTCAAGGTCAGAACGGTCAGCTGTGGACCTATTTCAGACGACCTGCGGATACTAATGTATAATCTCATGAGCAAAAATGGACTGAAACTAATGGAAGTGGAGTTTCTTCTCTTAAAAGTACAGAAATAATTCAAACGAGTTTTGACTAAAAAGGATAAATTGGACAAAAATGCAAATACAATTTGTCCACACATGATTATAAGCATGACACTGTGTCATAACACCGCATTATAGGTGAGGTTTTGACGCCCCTAGAACAAAGGAGTTTGTAATAGTAAAGTAAGAGCAGTAAGCTTTAGTCTCCTCTGTTTGAGTTTGACATGACTCAGTGACTAGAGGGATAAATCTTACACTGTGGAGGCATTTAAATTGGAATTAGAAGTTCCTTCAGAGACACTAACTCTCCCCTGAAGAATATCTCAGTGTGCTCAGTAGCCTGCTCTGACTTTACCTTCATGCTGGGGCACCGGTGTTTATGTGTGTATTGAGCTGTTTGTTTCGTAAACTGCTGGGTAAACTGTGTACTCTGTGGAGGAGGGATACAGACAGTCCCATCTGCACGACAGAATTTAGCTCTGAGCGCCAACACAGAGGAAATGTCATCAGCAGATTTCCATGGCTGCCCTGGGACAGTTGGCATCGTCTCTCATATCTATTTGCTTTAACGTCAGTTCACATTAGATACCTCAGCCTTTTCTCGGGACTCCTACGCCCTCTCTTGTCTTTTGTATTTCTCTTTCCTTCCTCTGCCTCCTTTGTCTCTTCCTCTGCTCTTTTATTTCCTCCTCTGTGTTATGAGGACATCAGTCTCAAACAGATGGGCCACATTATGGCCTCTGGTGGGAGAAGGAGACACTTCAGCAGAGTGTCATCTTATCGTCTTCTCCCCTGAAAGATGTTTCTATGACTCCATTGTTCTGTCGCTCTCTCCTAACGCTGCTCGGTCACATCGTTTTGGGTCAGCAGGGTCACTGCTCTCTGTCGCTCTGTCCAGCTTTGTTTACATTTTGGACTGTCTGCATTGATCAGCCTGCCATGGAGGCTACAGTCAAGCACACGTACTGTAACATACACACACCTGCAAAAAAAAAAACAACTTTTGGCAGGAAAAACGATAGACATGGTTGCCATGGAAACAGTATCTACTGCCACTGTGTCTGAACACCTATAGAGTATATGAATGCAAATATATGCACAAGCTTAAATGGAATGGCCATGCATACAAATCTTTGTTGCCATAGATGAGGACAGTTGGGTTTTTTTCGTTCACTGATCCTCATTCTCAAGTACTCCCCTTCTGAAAGCCCTAAAAGGAAATGGTGCAAATAACAAGCAATTAATATGCAAATGTTTTAAGTCTGTATACTTCTTACCTTAAAGCCCATAGGTGATGATACTGCATCATTTAGATTTTCTCTATGCTGAGCCTAAATTTCAATTTTGCTATCTGCAGAAACACAATCTGTCAGAAGATGCAAAAATCTGAAGCAGAATATGGAAACAGAAGATTAATTCCTGCAGACTCGTTTTGGGCTTCACTATCAACGAATGCAAACATGTAACTGAGAGGTTACGCATTTGAAATAAACCCAAGATACTGATGCCCTGATGAAAGGAAAACCCCAAATCCCAGTTATAGAAGAATAGGGGCATAGTTGGAAAAAGGGGGGGGTTCTTCACTGTACACTTATCCTTTGATTGGGGCACACATATCTTGTGTTTTTATTTCAAATGCTCCTATGATCTACTGATAAGTTACATAAGCCATCACAGCCCAAACAGCATTGCCATCTTCAACAGACTTAGGGTGCACTCACACTAGGCCCAGTTGTCTGGTACCGGGCTTAAGCATTCGATTCCCCCCATTCCTTCACTGGCTTACTATCACACTGCTCCCGACTAACCAGGCCTGAGAACCTCTTGTGCACAACGTTGTAATACAACACATGCATGGCTTTATGTGATCATGAAGCGTGCTTAGACAGGCGGACTTGAAAATAAAAAAACATTTTTTTAAAGGGACGCGCGGTCTCGTCCACGTCTGCACATCTGAGAACAACACGTGTACTTGAACGTGACTGTGTACTGCGCTTGAGCACCGATCGGAGCACTCACACCAGTCTAACCAACTGGACTTTGGGGCTGAAGTATGCTTAGGCCCGGTACGGATTGCCTAGTGTGAGTTAGCCCTTAAGATATTTACGTGCAAGCTCCAGGTAGTGACTATGGTGACACTAATACTACTACCTACCCCAAACAACCAAAATACAAAATGTTGAAAGACTTGCAGTCATGACGCTGTTGGAGATTTTACTTGTCAAAACAGTTTTCTGCACATATAGAAATAGAAATCTTACATCAGCAGTGTGTTTGACCTGATGCTGTGAGAGTCTGACTCTGACACTAAATGATTAATACTCTCACTACCCTCAGGTGTCCTCACCTAACAGCCCAGGCTTTTATCAAACACGATAGCTGCTTTTTCTGCCTTCTTCTTCTTTATGTTGTAATGAAATATATTGTAGGATAAACAAAGGGATTATAATTGCTGTGGGAGTAAAACCATCTGTTCTTTATGAAAGACATAAGTGTGTGATCCACTGTGTACTTTTCTGTCTGTTTCATGTTGTACATATTAAACTTCTTTGATCTTCCTCTTGCAATTTTGCTCTCTACAAACTCTCTACAAATTCCAAATTTCCCTCGGGATCAATAAAGTATCTATCTATCTAGTGTTTGTTTTTGTTTCTATATTTTTTGCCTCCATTATGTGGTTTTATTGTCAACCTGCAGTCCGTCTTTCCTCTTTTTCTCCTCAGGATTTATCAGAGCTGTTGGCGGTGGTGCGTCTTCCCTTCATCCACCCGTCCTACCTGCTCAACGTGGTCGATAACGAGGAGCTGATCAAATCGTCCGAGGCGTGTCGGGATCTGGTCAACGAGGCCAAGCGCTATCACATGCTGCCCCACGCCCGGCAGGAGATGCAGACGCCCAGGACTCGGCCCAGGCTATCTGCTGGTACATATACACAAACACACACACACATGCTCTTCATATTTTACCACAACAGATTGGCAGAGGGGTTAAGTCTGCATGAGGAGATGTTGACCTGCCACTGAATCATATTGATTTTCACCAAACTGGAAAGCAGAGATTTAGAGCTCCATCATGTTTTACAAACAACTACTGAACATGCTTTTTTCATTATTTTATTTGATTTAACCTTTATTTAACCAGGAAAGAAACTCATTGAGATTACAAATCTCTCAAGACAGGCAGCAGCACAATTAACAGGATTTCACACAAACAACAAGCAGCCAAAAATAAGACTTAAATAAATACACCCTTTGACACCCATCAAGATCATCTACAAACACATTAGTGAGAACAGCCAGATGTGTCTGCCTCCAGGTCATGTTACACGTTTAAAAGCATCAAAACGAAACCAGCTCGTTAAGTTTCAGCTCTTTTTTAAATTTGTTTCAAGCAAAGGGAGCAGCAAACCTAAACGTCTTTTTCCCAGTTCAGCTCTAACTTTTGGAACAGACAGTAAGAAAAGGTCCTGGGATCGAGCAAAAATAATCCTCACACAGGTCATATTTCCAAGTGTCAGCTCATTTTTTTTTCTTTCCACAATCAAACAGAAGACAGCTGGAGAGGAGCCTGATTGCTGCTGCCATGAAAAATTGAAAGTGGCCAACCATAACAGCTTTCTTGAGTTTTGTGAGCTTCTGAACCCACCTTCAGACTCTGCTACAGAAAACCAGCACACAAACATCTCCTAACAACAATTTAACACCAGCTAAGAACAGTAAGGTCTGTTAGGCCTCCATGACGGTTCGATTATTTTCCCTCATGTTGTCCAGGACTCCTCTCTTTCCCCCTGTAAAGAGCTGCCAAATTATAGTGTCTGCATCTTATTATAGCCTCACAACAGCACTCCTAACCATTCAGCACAAGTTGTTTTTTGCTCGGAGTGATAAAGATAATTGCCCTAACAAAGGCACTTTATGGAGAGATCAGTTTAGACAACACTGTTCAGGGGGGATTTTTGAGTTTCATTTTTGCATCTTTAATTGGCTGTAATACAGACGCATGAGGATTTACAAAGAAGAAGTCTTTTCTGTTGAGAAAAGACATTTGCGGCATCACATGTGCTCAGCATCATTCAATCAGTCATCCTTGGTCCAGCACTTTCTTCAAGCAAAGTCTAACAACGCCTGCATCCTACAGAAAGATTCTGCAGGCAGAAGTGTGTGTAGGGAGATTGTGGCTCAGTACAGCACAATTATCTAAATGCATAAAAGCTGCAGGGACGAATACATTCATGATGCATAATACACTGATGGCTCCGTGAATGAGAAAAAACAAACACGCTCTGCTGAAGTTTCAAACTAATCTGAGGCTAAGCTTGTGATATCGTTTAAGAAGTTACCTCATGTCACGTCTTCGTCCTAAAGAGCTTTTTCGAAAAGGCAGGGTGATGTAGTCGATGTCTTTTGGTAACAGCCTTGTGTCTTCAGAAAAATGTCTTGGGTAAAGGGAAAACTATAAGTTTCTCATAATGGATTCTGTGTGTTTTGTGGACTGTTTGTTTATCCATTAGCTACTAATTTGACAATCAGAGTGTTGATGTGCGTCTGATGAGCTGCCATTACGCTTCCCTGAAGATTTACTGTAACAGCTGCAGGTTTACTCACAAAGCTAATCATACCATGCTACCTGATTTGTTCCATCTATACGTGGGTTTGTTTGACATTGAAAAGTACGGGGAGGACTTAGAATATATGCTGTTTGTGTGTAAGTGCATAAAAAGCACGTTGTGTATCCATTTCGGTCTCTCCACGTGTGACTATGTGCTTAGCTTGAGGAGATGGGAGAGCGTCGGGACAAACTGTTAACTCAACCAAGCACAGTGGAATACCACTCAAACAAACGAGCTGTAATGAGGAGGACACACAGGGGTCCAGCTCGACACACACACACACACACACACACACACACACACACACACACACACACACACACACACATTGTTAACAAGAAGCAGAAAGGATAAGAGCTACACTAACACGTCCACACATATGCAGCAATAACAGGAGATAAGAGTTTGATTATGTGGCAAGTTCACTCAGTATGTGTGATCCTGTGATATGTGTGAAGTTGTAACCAAATTCTTGCAAGTCTTTCAACAGGATATTAACTGCTCTCTACATCTGTTCTGAATGTTAATATTGTTGTGTATCAACTATTTTACATTCTTGCATAATGCAAGCAAACTAAAACACCATATGGTCATCAAAAATCCTGGAATCTGGATTTCATTCGATTGGCAATCACATAAGCTTCCACATCCAAAGTTAGGCTCTTGAAATTCATCCACCGATTCACACCTTCACCAGCCAGCAGCTCGTTGGACAGTCACTGCACCAAGGGAAAGAAAGCTGAGATTCCAAGATTCCCACCTCGTCAGGACATAATCATCAGATGACTTCCATCTGAAGTCTTCCTACTACTGCTTTATCAGTTTTCTCTTTAGCACAAAACCAACACACAACACAAAAGAAACATGATTTTAGCAGGACAGCTTTTGGAAGTTTGGAAAGACAATTGTGAGCTTTACAGAGGATTCTTTTTAAATAGTCTTAAATCATGGGCAGTGTGGATTAATGTTCTGCTCTCTGTAATTAGTCAGCCTTGATGTTTAATCACTCTGTGTGAGTTATTCCTGGAGTCTGAGAGGATATTTTGAGTGAGGGAGAAAGAAGCAGTGCGAGTGAGAGGAAGTTGGATGCAGCTGTTCACTGGAGGGTTGCAGGATGAGTTTTTTATATTGCTGCAGCTTATCAATGGAGTCAACATATCCAACTTTTATATAACTTTTAAATTACTGTAAATCCAGATGAAATAGCCTCCAATATTATGGTTCTGGCCTCCTAGTGCGACTAGGGAAGGGGGAGACCAGTAACGATTACCTGTACTTGGTTTTTACATGAAAACTTGACTCTGTTCCTAAAGCTGCAATTGGTGCTCAGAACCAAAGCGAGCAGCGTTAACAGGAACATGGATCAGCCTCTGCAATTTGACCCACTGTACCTGCAGCAAGGCTGGAACGGAGCTTCAGTCTCATCAATGTTCAGCAGGCTGAGTGATCCTGGTTACAGCTGTATTACTGCATGTAGCCGAGTCGAACGAGTTGGAAACCGAGGGGAGAGAGACAGTGGAGAAAGTGGGAAAGGAGCCACAGGTCGGACTTTATCCCGGGCCATCCGCTTCGAGGACAACAGCCTCTGTACATGGGACGTGCAAACTACCCGCTAGGCCAACCTGCGCTCCATGCATCTCACAATTATGAGGACGTGGTTCTTTGTATTAGTTAGTGCATTTTGGATAGCTCCATCTTATCACGTGTGACATTTAAAGACTGAGAAGTTTAGTAGGCCGTTCATCCACATCGCAACAGTTACTCATTTTCCTCCAGCTGTGTCTTGCCTCTCAGAAAGCTTTGTTTTTTATTTGCCCTAGTTTTCCGTTTTAATTCCCTAGCGTTGCCGTCTTTGCAGAACATGGAGGGAAGAGGATAATTCATGTGAAACATCCTTTAAAACAAAATTCAGGAACACGTCTTTCCAGTGAAACTGTCCCAGTTACTCTGGAAAATCCTCACAGCAAACCCCATAAAGTTTCCTCAGGGACTTATTTTTTTTGTTAGAAAGAAACTTCATTAAAATCTGTTCACTAAGACATCAGTGGATCATCCTGAGTTTTAAGGACACCCTGCTGTTGAGTTTTTAATGTTATTTTACAAGAGAAACAGATACAAGAAACTAGTCTGTTTTAATATTCAGTCAAGGAAACTTAAGAGAAACTCTGGAAATTATTGCAAAACTATTTGCATTGCTTATCACTGAATTTATGTCTGTAATGAGAATAAACTGACCCTTTGAACACAGTTTACTACACTTGAGACCATGAAAAATCTCCAAACAAATCACTAGAGAGCTAAATATATGCCAAACAGACACATAACAGCTACTTACACTTACACTTCAAAAGCCGTTTTCTCATTATGCTCTCCTGAGGTAAGCGGAAATAGTAGATTAAGCAACATAGTCCGCTGTACGACGCTATAATGTGTGCCACATGTAGTTCAACTGAGTCACACTATCAACACAAGAGCGGAGAAGGACATTCTGGCGAACAGAAAAAGTAATGCAGCCGTTTATGTGTATGGAATCGGAACCGTTGTGTGAATACAGTCTTTGCATCGTGCAGCAGGCAGAGTATATAAACGTCACTCCCCCTCCTATTGGCTCGAGGTGAATTCTACGGATAATATCCTGCTGTGTTCTCACATCAGCTCACTCGGACTTGCTGCATAAGAAATACAAGGGGTCTGGCAGGAGAAACTCCGGGTGAAGAGTTTTCTGAAAGTGTGAAAGCCCTAAAATTGTGTAAAATCAGATCCCGACACACCAAATGGTCTTCAAATCTTCACTGGGCACTGATATTATTTGGGAGCCTTTTGCCCCTGATGCTCACCATTGCATATCAACACCCTGGGAGAGAAATCAAAGGATAATGGATGGGAAAGAGAGGTTAGAGAGAAGCTACACAGATAAGAGGAAATGGTTATGGAACAGCAGTGAGATATAAACTGCTCCGAGCTCTGACAGACAGACTGCTATAGTGTCTCTGTGGCTGTGAAACTCAGTGAGTAATAGCCTGAGCACTTCTAATGTTCCCAGTATTACACCCTATGAATATATTCACACATACAGTATAAGCTTACACATGTGACACATTTATAAACAAGCAGGCGCATTTATTCTCACCTGACACTTTTAGATGTCTATCTTATTGATTTATGCGTTTAATGCCTGGCTGCCACTAACCACATTTACTTTGTCATAGTGCTAATTTTAAAGCGACAACCCTTTTTTTTCCACCTTAAAATAGTGGTTTCGATGTTGTTCTAGCAGTACAGCAACTTTCAATAGGAGGAATGGCATCCATCACATACCCGCAGATCCCCCGCCTGCTTATAGCAATTATAGCACCAGTCAAGATAGCGTTTTATACAATGGCTGGAGACGGAAGAGGATGGCTAGGGATGAATTGAAGAAGATAAAAAGAGAGAGTAACCAAAAAGAAGCAGAGTGTATTTCCCTGCAGATATTATGTCTATGATTGCAACGTATTGTTCGGCTGTATCATTATCTGTGTCATTGTTGTCTTATATTTAGCAGCTAGAAATCCCCTGTAGATCTTTTCCATTATATCTGTATTTCTTATTAAGGAATATATTTACAGTTAATAAGAGTAAGCAGAGAAGCTATGAAAAGCCTTTGACCACTGAGAAAATTTTGAAATAACAATTGTGCAAATTAATGTGAAACTCTGTTTAGATCAGAAATTACTGATCAAACTTACTGAATAACCTGTGGGTCATTTGATCTTTATCTTCTTAGAGTGGAGATCCCATTAATCCCTTGGTTAAATATGCCTTTTAAGCAGACTTTTGCTCAATACGTCTGCTTACTGTTACGTTTTCAAAGTAAAAATGTTATAAAACATAACAAAGAGTCAGTAAGAATCAGGAGAGAAGACATGTTCTGCCCAAAATGCCAAGGGTATAAACTCCATCAGGAAGACAACAAGAGCTGTCAAGCTGATCTTCTCCATCCTTCAATCCTCCCTCCCATCATCCCTCCACCCAACTCCCAACTCCCATCAAACTTCCTGACTCACAGCCGACCCTGTGAGGCTTCATTTCTGAGTTAAACTCACACATACACACCCACACACACACACAACCATCTGATCAAACCCTGTGAATCCTCCATCTCTCCTGTTTTGTTGGGTTCTGACAGGTCGGTGGTGGGTTGTGTTAGCTTATGAATGTGTTCAGGGCTTCAGGGGTCAGAGCTGCAGAGGAGCCTCAACACACAGATGTGGACTCTCACTGACGTGTCTGACCGAGTAGAAAGCGTTGAGAAACAACCTGCACACGTGCACGAGGTGATTAGAAAGGCAGCATGAGGGAATTCTTTAGTTGGTTTCAAACTAATCGGGGTTTAAGTCAGCTTAGTGAGAGAGACATTCAATGTAAAAAAATAAAGTAAATAACAGTTTTGTTGTGCTTCATATGTACATGGGCAAACTGAAAACATCAAGCAGCCCTGTGACATTAGGTATTCATACAGTATCCACTGTGTTTAAAATGGAAATTAAAATATTTAATTATGAAAAATAGGAACATACAGTTCATAAACTAGGAACTTTAAACAGCAGAATATTTATTGATGTGTTCACAGGAAAAGGAAAATCTCAAATTGGCTCCTGCATAGACAAAAACTCTGCAAAGTTGATTGAGGCAGTGAATATCAGCAAAGTAAAACATCTAATGAGATGACACAAAAAGAGATGAAAAGAGAAGAAAATGTCAATGGGGGGGGGTAATAAAAATGATAATGAGAAATTAAATGCAAATGCATACAGTTTAAGCAGTAACTAATGTTGAAGATGAACAAATGCCAACAAAGTCAATCTAATATTTGTGTGAATGTGAGGCTCATAGCAGAGAAGACAAAAATAGCTTGTTTCCACTTAATATTTTTTCAAAGAACATTTCGCTGTTGTTGCGACCGTCCCTCTCCCAATATTTGATTGTGTATCCAATGCCTGTTGGAGGTCTTAAGGGCCTTGAGGTCCCGAGCGTGATACCATGAAGGTAAAGTAAAGCACATGATAAGATAGGATTCAACCAGAGGCATCGCTCCAAATTTGACACATAATTTCATTTGCTGCTTGAGAGGGTGGCAACCCAGTGCTCGTACACCTTCAGCATTTGTCATGATGGCTCTTTTTAAGCTTGTGAATAAGACCTTCATCTTTGAAGTGACACTGTCACTACACAAAGACAAAATACAAAAATATCACAGCAAAGAAAAAACAAGTCTTGCTTTAAGCTTTAAGCTGTCCAGTATGTCTAAGCTGTGTCCACGATATGGTGAGGCAGTGCTTACCACCCTGTTTGTTTTTTTCAGTATAAAGATTAGATTTCCCTCTCATCCCTCAGTTTTCTTTCTCTTTGTTTCTCCTTTCACTCTCACTCCCCCTTCCCCTGCTCCGTATTTCAGGATCCTCCTCCTCCTTTTTCTTCGCTCTCTCTCCCCTCCACCTGCCTGCTGCTCACAAACACACAGCTCATTTCTGTATGGCAGCTTGTTGTCTTGTCCGCTCTCTGGAGCCTGCTGCTCCTGAAGACAGAAGACTCAGAGGACCCGAGACACACACATGTGGCATCCCGCCAACCTGTTAACGTGTTTTTTGAAGGCTGGTGTCTCTTTATTCAGTAGCTCTGAGTATGTGTATGTATGTGTGTGTTTGTACATCTGTGTCTGAGAGCACAGATCTTTGTAAGGATTATCAGAGCGTTACGGCTGTATGTTTCCCTTTGCTGTGTGTTCCTTCTCCACTTCCTGTTGTCTCCAGCCCAGGTGAAGCCACTAATTGAACATAAAGGCACACCTGGCCTCAGTGCTTAAAAGCCCAGTGCTGGAGGCATTTGGAGTTGGGACTGCTGTGCCTCTCAGTCAGGGATTGGCTGTTGTGTTTTGTCAGTTAGTTTCTAAGTTGACTTTGTTATCATTTAGTTTGTCATGTTGATAATAAGTCCCTTTGTTTTGGCTTTGTTAAGGTGTTTTAAGTTTTTAATGGGTCAATGTGTGGGTTGTTGTTAGCCCCATAGGGCCGCCTTATGGCGGGCATAACAAGAGTGAAGTGTTAAAAGTATCTTCTTAATGACACAAGGTCCTCAGCACCTGTGTTTATATAAGACTCAGCACATCTCCATGAACAAATGTACTCAAATTGATCCCCACTTCTTGATTTTGCGTGTCTCTTATACCTAAACAATGTTTGTTAGTGTGAACAGTGGTGGGCCGTGCATTTTACACCTGAGCCTTCAGTACTGTCTTACTAAAGTCATAATGACCTCATACAGTATGATGCCACAACTATAGGTTATTGTTATTTCATGTGTTAACCTCATACTCAGAATGACACTGCAACACAACTGAGGAGAGAGAGTAGCTATGAAATGGATTTAAACTAAAGGGAACAATTCTGATAAAACATATTGTAATAATGAAAAACAATATATTGAATTGTAAAATGTAAGTTTGGGATTCTGACAGCAGAGATGGCCTTACTGGCCCAAGGGCCCACTACTGACTGTGAGTGTGTTTACAGTACAAATGATTGTATCAGTAGCTCTTGTATAATGTGTAAGATGAGATATAAACAAAGTGGAATGGCAGCACCATCACTCTTTATAATGGAGTTATACAGAAGTAGTTTCAAAAGAGAACTTCTATTTTTCATTTTGTTTTGCATTTCCTGACAAGTATGAAAATGTTTACCTTCCTGTTAGGTTCAAACTTGGCTCTTATAAACTTGGAGTCATTCCCTGACTGCTTGCTTTCTCACCTCTCCTTCTCTCCGTTGTGCTTCCCAATCATCATCTTCATCCTCCTGCATCCCTCCTCATCTATCATCCTCCTACACTTTTGTCCTCCAGGTGTAGCGGAGGAGATAGTTCTGGTGGGAGGGCGTCAGACGATGGGGATGAACCAGCGCTCCCTGACAGCAGTCACCTGTTTCAACCCTCAGAACAGTAAGTGGTACCTGCTGGCCAGGCTGCCCTTCTACAGGGACAACATCTACTGGTCAGATGAGCTAAGTGAATGTCAGTACAATTGTAGCTTTGCAGTCTCAGTCATTTAGTTTCACAGGGGAGCAGTAGAGTAGATGTCATAGGTTTAGTCGAGTGTTGTTCATTCAATCATAGTTCAAAAGCACTCAGGTAGCCGTTATCAGCAGTCACGTTTTACAACCCCTCTTCCTGCAGGACTCAGGACTGTGGATTAACATCTGGGTTTATTTTACTAAGGAACAAAGGAACTGATCAATGACTTAAATCTCCCTCTCAGACAGGATATTATGAACTTTTACAACACCTAGAATAAACAACCGAGCGGAAACAGAACACTCTGCTATCTATGAATTGACCCCAAAGACATGAACTGTGACCGAAACCAGTCTCTGCAAAGTTGTAAAATTGACCATCTGTTGAAGGACTGCTGAAGAGCTGAATTAAACCACAGCGTTCAATTCTGCATCAAATGAACATTTATGTCTTTCTTCGTCTAGATATTTGTAATTGTCACATTGAATGTATTATAATCATCTTTTTAAACTCAAAATCTGAGTTATATTATGTTTAATAGGAATTTGACATGGAGCGCTATTGCCATCTAGTGTTAGAATATCCATGAATACGTAACCTTCATAATTATACATTTAGACGTGTTATAAAGCATACTCTTTGATATTAGCTATAGAAGGTGTTATTTAAAGACACCAATTTATTTTCCTACTTTATTAACATGTCTTATTAAGAATGCTTAACATGTTTTTGTTCACCTACAGGCTGGGATTGACTGAGGATGTTCCCAGATGGTGTGATTTTCATCTCAACATGAATCTGATAGAAATGTTTGTCTAAATATATGACGTGAACCTACATCAACGTGGATCTGATAGAAATAATATTGAAATGAATGTATGGTGACGTATATATGTTTAGATTCTTATTTTTAATCTTATTGAGTAAACTCGGTTTAATTTAAACAATTGTCCTCCGGTCAGAATGGGAGTCACCCATGGGCGACACCCCTCTTTGCCTGCAGACCCCCTCCTCTCAGCCAGCAAGAGTTCACACTGAGCTCAGATCTTTAGTTTTTCTTAGTTTTGGTTTCTTGAAGTTTAGAGCTTCAGCTCTTGCTCGCTTCTCTTCGGACTTCGGTCCAAATCACTTCTTCTAAGTTTGTGCCGTAGAGACGAGTCTCTGCCAAACTTCTTTTGCACGCACAATTTTTGGAACATCAATTCTTTCTGGCAAGGTTTCTGAACTTTCTTCTCCAAAGTCTTTGCTCTTCAATTTTGAATGCCAATTCCTTAATTTGGATTCATCAAGACGGCCATCTGGTTAATCTGAATTGGAAATGGACGTATCAAAAGACTCTTTAATATTTTTCCTGTTGGATCCTCTTGGAGCTTCTGAGACGATGGCTGAACCGACGTACAATCTCCATCCCAGCTGCATACTCCGACCAAGGTGTCAAGGCATCTAATCTGGTCCGTGGACCTCTCTGGGCCTGGAAAGAACCGCTTGCCAGAGACTGAAACGCGGGACCAGCCAGCGGAGTTCAATTGAACACATCTCACAGTAAGACTGCTGGTGGCAAGGGGTGTTGGAAGATGAAGTCTTGAGTCGTGTCTATTCAGAGCCCACCTTTAAATCCAAATAGAATCCCAAATTTCTTTATCAACTTTTTCTTTTTGACCATTTTCTGATTAAGTCATTCAAACAAAACCGCGTCTTATCTCATTACTAAATATATAATGTCACCATACATTATGATTGCATTATCCTGATCATAATAATCATATTCTTTATCTGTTTCATTATTGTTTACCCCTTTTATATTACATTTTACACATAAAATTCAGGACTTTGTCTGTGTGTTTTCTTGTTTAACATTTCCAGAACTTACTTCTTTCAAGATATGAAACTGATTGATTAATTAATTAACTTATACCATTAAAGTTATTTTCTTCCTTTAACAGGAAGTGGTGCCCCTTCTTAAATCCGAGGTAAAATAAAGATATAACATCTTAATAATTTAATTACGCTCCTAAATGATTGATCACTTTGATTTTGATATAGCTTTCTTTGCCAGCAGCATGGCTGTAAGGATGTGACTGGACCGTATTTTCTCAACACGTTTGGATAGATGTTAAAATGCAAACTTAAGCATTTAGCTTAAAGCATCAAAGTTCTTCCTCACATAGCTGTAGGCTTGTGTATAAATTGTTCGGTCTCCATCTCTTTTGGAAAGGAATTTGAGCATTTTTGAAAACCAAAATACAGTATGGCTTTACATTGAGGAAATAAATGGAATCTCTGATCTCTTTAGTTGAGGTCACACGAAGCGTGAAGGGCAATGACATAGATCTCCTCTCTTCCCATCTATGACCTTTCAGTGAGGACAGTTTCACTCTGACAGATATGAAGCTGCTCAGTCCAACATCAACCTCTTGTGACTTTTAAGAAACAGATTTGAAAGTGTGGCCCCCCCTCCAAACTTACACATCTTTTTATTTTCATAAATGAAGTCGACTTGACTTGACATCTGTTACTTGGAAAATCACAGATGATGATGCAGATGACTTCAATGTCCTTCTTTTCTGTTAAAGAATGTCTCTTCTCTTTAACTTCTGTAGAGCCATTTTATCAACTTGACTTTTTTTCGGTGATTGGCTTGACAGCCTCTGCAGTGTTATACAGTTTATTTGGTTCCATAGTGACACAATGTGCAGTCTGTGACCCCCTCTATGAGAAACTTTTGAGTTTCTTCACCAGAGACAGACTGAATTTCTCCATTACATACGTTGCAGTGTGTAAATGCAGCAGGATTTGTCCTGCATGTTTCTCTCCCTGTTTTCATATCAATGTAAATTTGTGTTTGGGCATTGGAACAGGTCTGCATGTGTCATCTAGGTTTCAGACAGCCAGAGGAGAAATCAGAGGTGTTCTTGCCAGCAAATCAACAGGCTGCCAGTCTGTAACCTTTTGACAGAGCATGGTCACTGAGACTCTGCTGGTGTTACATAAAATACACGATGGTTGCCTAACTCCCTCGCAAACACATCAACAAACAACTTTCTGTCAATAAAAAGTTGTCCAAGTTGCTCACTGTTATTTTTTAACTTATGAACAAAACACACCGAATGTAGAGATTTAAACAACATAAGTAAAAACGTTTTAAAGAAAGGAGATTAACATTAGTATTTTAATGTTTACATCATTGTCCTACTATTTGATGCTAAAGTAAAACATGTAATTAGAGCAAATCTACACTAGTTGGAATTTTCTTTAAGCTTAACAATTTTCAAAATAAAGTACATGTAGTTTCTCAGTCCCTTGTTTCTGGATAAGTAAACACTCCAAATAGCCACTTTGTTTACGTACTAATATATTTCAGGTGGCACAGAGAGCGGTGTGATGGTGGCTGATGTCTGGTGCTACATGTCCCTGCTGGATAACTGGAGTCTGGTGTCTCGGATGACGGTGGCTCGCTGCAAACACAACAGCCTGGTGTACGACGGAAAGCTCTACACCATCGGAGGACTGGGAGTATCAAGGAACCTGGACCATGTGGAGAGGTAAGAGTCACATGGCATCATCAGCAGTCTGTCAGAACGTGGCAGATGGTGCAGCATGCAGCAATGTAGTGCAGCATGTTGCAAAAGTGTTTGGACAGGTAAGTTTGCATTTTCTACGAGAGTAGAGAGTTGGAATGCAGGTGTGAATGTGTGTTGGAGCATATTCAATCGTCACACATGTGAGCGTTATTGTGCAGCAACTGAGCACCTTTTACTTGTTTGTGAGCGGGGCCTGAGAGAGAGGAATTGCGTTCAGAGAGCAGAGTGGCATACAGTGTCTGATTCCATCCACTTAACCAACAACAATTTGCAGACACTTCATATGAAGGTCACCCTGTGCGGTCCTTTCAGTCAACTCTCTGCTTCTCATTTTTTGTGCTTTTTGTCCAAACTCCAGCGCAAGAAAAGACAAATACTGAGTACAACTGATTCTTAGTGGCATAAAACATGAATAGAGATTGCTCAGATTCAATCGTCTGATTCTCTCCTCTTGACTTTTATACTTCTGCTCCTCATTTCTCCTCTAACCTGGGCTGAGTAAGTTCAACAGATAAGCTTCCTCCTCCTGCACAGCAGAGCGAGATAAACCTATGTTATCAAAAGAGCATTACTGGGTTTATCAGAGCGGGCCGCTGCCGCTCATTACCAACAGCTTGATTGATCTCCAAAGCTTTTCACAATGCTCAACAGTCCTCTAAATGAAATAGGCTAATTTGATATTACCCTACAATACTACCACACTGTGTCCTTGTGAAAGGGAAGGATGGAAGATTTGTCTGTAAGGGTTATGCATTTGATTCCTCAGTCTCTGAGCTGGTTATTTTTTAAAGCTACTGGAACATCGAAGGCATTCACAGCTTTGGAGAAATCATGGTTTCACAGAGTGATGAGTTTTTATTTCTTCCTCATGAAGCTTTTCTGATGGACCAAAGCAACTGGACTAAGATATCAGCGCCATAAAACTTCAACCTTCTTTGCCTAGATATTTTCAGGAGTGTATATGTGAAAACAGCTTAACATGGAGTTTTTTAAAATGTGAGAACAATATCAAACCTGAGAACTAGCTCACTGTCAGAAACTGTCCGGCTCAAATTCTAGTCAAAACCTTATTTCACAACTGAAAACTATGAATGAAACTATTTAAAACGATTCATTAACCTGTACAACCCAATGCCCCCGTCCTACACAAAAGTACCTGATGTTATATATGTATAAATACATATTTTAACTGTAAAGAATCATTAAATTACGAGTTATTTTTGAATCCTTACATAGATCTCCAGGCTGTGGAAGATTATCCAGATCCCTTTCAGTCTTTCTCTGAAGGCTTTTGTTCCTAGCTGCTTTGATAAATGAGCCTCATTAACTGCTGATCCTTTTTCTTGTAGCCAACCCATCATATTTGGCAGGTGTGTCTCTGCTATGAGACTCAGTTGGCTCTGCTGCAGCTCAGCATTGTTGGACTCTAAAGAGAGTAGAGACTCCAGCAGGGAGGCAGCCAGTCCACAGCAGGACTAAACCCTGGCTAGAGGAGATAAAGGAAACTGTTACTCAAATGTGTTTTTTTTTCATCCTCCCCACAGGATGGAGGAATAGCTGCACAGGTTTTAAGAACAGTTTCTTCATCTGGAGAACAAATAATATTCAGAAATAATTTGTCAGTGTGTGTGAATAGCTGCCTTGTTTGATATGCAGTTGGCTGGTCGAGCTTGTATCTGAAGGCTAAGAAAACGCTCCAACAGTCAGAGCTGATTTACTCTTCTACTAAAGTGATTCATTCAGAGATTGTTTAGACAGGCAGACAATCTTTTCTAGCCTACATTTCTGTGTGTCACCTGTACTTCATAGAGTTTCTGCATAGATTGGTGCGTCTACCTTTGTTGATTTTCATGTCTGCATAGATCAGCCAGCTTCAGCCAGGGCTCCTCACCTTCCAACACTTTGACTCCTTACTCCCGCACAGCAATCAACAGTAACAGGACCGAGTGGGCTCATCTGGTCTCCACTCTCCTCACCAATGATTGACAGATCTTAGGGGCAGGAGTAGTTAAGTTTAGGACGCTTTTAACTTGCAATCATGTACCCTGAGCCTGCTTTATACATGCTAATCTTTGGCAAACAGGATTGCAGATATTGAATAATTCATAAGTCTCTCATGATGTGTCAATCAAAGACGGTTTTGTTTTATTTATCACGCACTATGCTCAGGTTTGTGCATTCTCAGAGCTCTATTGCAACTTAATATTGCATGCAGACTGTTTGCGACATGACACCGAGTACAGCAGCTAGCTCTTCTCATCAGGGATGTCGAGCTGTTTGGCAAACAAGCCTGGAGGAGAGAGGAGCAATTTGCACTGATCATGTCCTCTGGCTTTTTATGGCTTTTTCAAACTAAAATTACCTTTTTGTATGCAGTACATAAATATACGAGCCTGTAAAAAGCTGTGAAGAGAGGTTCATGTGTAGTTTTCAGGCTAATTAACTAGCACATTGGCTGTTCCTGCATGAGTGTGGCATTCAGTGGTGATATACTTCCACACCTACTCATACACCAACCCAATGGGCCATTTCAAAAAATGGTGGCTTAGCCTGAGCCTTAGTCTGCATTAGGCTAAGCATAATGCCTGCAAGACCTTAGTTGCAGTGAATTGCTCCTGGGGAATTTAATCCACTCAATCACAACAAAGAAGATGCAGTGAGATGAATATACCAGTGGAAGATTTTATCACACTAAACACAGTAACAGTCCGTGGACGGCTCAGTGAAGTGGGAAGTCCTGAAGTGCTTGATGTCCACATGCGGTGTGCATGCCAGGATGCCTGTCACCCAGAAAAAGATCTCCTCCTGTGGGACAGCAGGGGTGGGAGAGACTCCACATTGCTCTCATGTAAAGAGGATACAGCTGCTCTTTGAGGAATGGTTTACCTCCTGGCTGGTTGTGTGAGGATTATCTGACGGAGATCTGTTCCTTTGCAGATAGAAAGATGAAGAGAGGAACAAGGCCAGTATGACACATTCAATCTACCTCAGCTCACATAAAATGCCATGTACCCATAAATCTGCTTGTAAACACGCTGATCTTTCATACATTAAACCTTGAAGATGGAGGTCCTACTTTATCTTTTCTTTAGCTTTCATCCAACAGCATTCTCTTTAGAGACTTTGGGGGAAAAAATCAGTGGGGTGAGGATTTTAATTGCAAAGAAGATTCCCATCACTTTGTAGCCTAAGGTTTTTGGGAGCCTGCAGCAAAGGATTCAGAGAAATAAGGAGAGAGAGAAGAGGAGCAAGCAAAGAAGATTTAAACAAAGTACAGCCGATCAGAGAGTTTATGTGCAGGACTCCTTATGGTGTGAGCTTTGCACAATCTGTCACACTGGAACCAATGGACACATGTGAAGATTCCCTCTGTCCTTTCCCAAAGCCAACCCAGCCTCTCTGCTGCTATAATGAACAGTTGTGCATGTTTTTATACTGTACATCTTTGAGTTTCAGTGTGCTGGCCCTTACTGAGCCGTCAAGGCACTTCAGGCACAAACCCCAGCCCTCGATTCACTCTTGAATATGGTCACCTCAATCAGCCCAGAACTAGCCTAGGCATTCTGCTCCACCACCAGAGATGCCAAGCCTTTTTTAACCCGCATCTTTCATGTCCTACACCCTCTGTCTCATTGCCCATTGCCTCTCCTCACAGAGCTCATTAGGTGGGCAGAAGCTGAACAGTGTTTTTTGGGCCTGCAAGACAAGATATGTTAAAAATGTCTGAAATGCCATGGGAAAAACAGCATCTCTTCTTCTTTGTCTTCTAATGGGGCTGATGGGGGGTTGATATGGAGGTGGATGATGCCAAAAGTGTTTATGTGTCTGTGTGCGTGCTTGCGTGTGTGTATGCATGCTTGCCAGATATTAAAACATGGTCAAGCAGCAGCAGGTGTGCCTGAGGTCGGTATTAGTGAAAGGCAGAGAGAGGCTGCAGGTAATGAGCAGTACAAGCTGTATGTGCTTCCCCTTCATTGATTAATAATGGGCTGACACTCTGGACAATGTCAGCCTTTACCAACAGGCAAATAATTCTGCCTTATTTTTGCTGTTGTGATTTTCCTGTGCTGTTTTCTCTCTTTTGCCTTCCATTTTTCTCTGTCAAAAATACACAGAGAAAGATAAATAATGATATAAAGCTGCCACAGTCATCCAGTTTTTCATGCAGTCAGTTAGTTAACAGCAGTACATTTCTAGGTAATTATCAGTGGTTAGGGTAGATTGTGAGGTATAATTAGAAGTCTGCATTTCTCTTAGCAACCACAATGCAGTCCATACAAAAAAAAGCTGAAAGATGATTTCTCATTTTGCTTCACAGCTGCCATTTTTGTTTTAGAAATGGTTTAAGAGATTGCTCCACTCTCAGAGGTATTTTTTTTTAGCAGCTCAACATTTAAACGTTTTATTCCTTCAGATATGAACATTCTAAGATGAGCAGATTTGTGACCAACAGGGGCCTCCCTAGACTAAAGGTGTGCAACATTGTCACATACTCTGTGTCCACAACCCATCATGAATTGAAAGCAGTTGTTTGCTCCAGGTACCAAAATGTTTCCAAGTTCTGGTCAAACTTAACCAAGAGAGTGTGATCCTGAGATAATGAGTAATGTCACTGGTTTAGAGATGTTTGTTTGTTTTAGTTGGTCTTGGTGCCCAACAGACGGCAGCACGGCAAATCCATCTGCTGTCAACACAAACAAACATGGCAGGTGTGGCTGTATAGTTCCACATAAACTGTCTCATTCCAGCTGTAGTAATTAAACCTGATGTTTTTTTAAGGAGAGTTAAAACAAAGAACAGAGAAACATTGGCAGGTTTTCTTTCATAAAAACAATCACACTGTGTGGGTCACTCTTATACAGAGCACATATTGAGTTACAGCTCTGATTTTTTGACATGTGAGCTGCAGTGCATGCTGGGAGCATGAACTTGTTGTTCTTTATGAAGATTACATATTCAGAGACAATTCTAGGTTAAAGTCTGGCCCCTTTATTCATTCACAATCTGCCCACCCTTCATATCCGTCTTTCGTTGTGTCTCTCTCCCACATAAAAGAAGACAATCCTGCATTGTTTGTTCTGCTGTAACCCTGCAGCATCTTCTCCGAAAGGATGAGGAAACAAGTCTGACAGAAGCTGCAGGCGATTACACAGCTTCATGCAGTGATCAGTCTTTGTGTTTATATATATTTTTCAAAATCAATAAATGCAGTTCAACATGTTGATGGATAAACTCCTACAAGACGTGACGAATTCTGTCTAACAAAGAAGTGCAGAGATCTTGTTTTTAGTTAAGTGATAAGTGTGATGTTTATATTTTATTTATCACTCTCTTCTCTCTCCATTTCCTCTGGCTTGGAGATGCAATCAAACCTTACACACCCCCTGTGAGAACCTCTTTAGTGTTATTCTTGATGTCACACTTCATTAGAAATTCTTGAAGGTAAATCACAAGTGATGTGTATCCAGTGATATTCATGAGCTGTGAGATTGACTGATTGCTTCCATTGTTACTGTAAAGGTGTTTTTCTTTTCTGACAAATAGACAACCTTAACCTCCACCACATTAAACAGAAGTGTTTAAAAAAGCTCCAGGATCAAATTGCGGCTTGTGTATGAGGCCTTCTCCAGCTGGAATGCAGTCTGCTGCTATGATCAATGGTCCATGGACAAGGGTTTATACTGTTAACACACCAGGCTAAACACACCAAACAGAAATGGAAAGTCAAGAAACATGCATTTTATTGCCTGCTGGATTTCTGATTATACACTAGTATAACAAGGGTCTTGTTCACATTGTGTTGGGTCCTCTCATCTTGCGTCTGTGTAAGTCTGGGTCTGCTGAGTTCTCAGCTCATTGGTGAAGTTCTGCCAAAGCTCGGTGAGAAAGGTCCAAAGCTTGGCGCTGACACAAAGCCTGACTCTAGAGACTAATGGATTGTAGCTCCAAACATATGCTGCTTTGTGTAATTGCTTTAATTGCTCTCATTGTACGTAATGTTTGGTCTCAGTCTTGGTATTTTTTCATCATCCTGGTGGTGTAGGCATTTAGCTAATTATATCGGTCAGCCCTGCAGCAAAAAGCAGCATTTCAGCTCATTAGGAACATTTGCAATCAGATTATTGCTGTATATCCTTGGTGTGTGTGGTAGCAGATGACTGACTGTGTTTTAATTGTTTCTGAATCATCAGCGGTTTCCAAAGTAATTAAAAGTTCACATATAACGCTCAGTACACTTTACTATGGTTTTCTAACACTTATATGTGTCCCTAGCCTGATTTCAAACCCCCCTATTATGAGAAAAGTCCGTCCTCGTCTTGTGTCTTTTGCCTGCACCAAAAATTGTGTGCTCAAACAGGCCGTTTCGAGATTTTCCCTTTGTGACATCACAAAGGGCAGTAACCCTTCCCCCATGTGGGTGACACTCCCACAGCTTGGTGTTTGTTCTGCATTCTGAGTTTGCTTTCTCCCCGTAAACAATTGGGCATGATGCGAGAAAGCCCAAGCCACCCAAGCCCCTCACCTAACTTTTTAAAGTCTAATTCATGAAACATTAAAATGACAGTGTGAACACACACACACAAAAAAGGTCAAATATAAAGATTTAAAATGTTTCATGTTTCAGGTACACAATCACCAACCAGTGGGAGACGTCTCTCCTCTTCCTAAGCCGGTCCATTCAGCATCAGCCACAGTGTGCGGAGGGAAGGTCTTTGTGTTCGGAGGTGTGAACGAGGCCGGGCGCTCGGCGAGGGTCCTACATACCACAGAGCAACACATGGAGCTTCATTGAATCACTTAGAGAGGTGATAGCACCCACAGTCTGACCCTTTGATAGAGACCAGATTCTTTTAGAACTCAATATGGAGACACCTTCAATGTCATGTGCTTGACTTCGCCTGGTGAAACTGTAGAGTCCTGATTGCCATTTCAAGTTGTAATTTTGTCATTCATACATGACTGTATCAGTGTACTCAGATTCTTCATTAATCCCCCTCCTCCCATGCTAAAGCTTTCATTAAAATCGGCAGACCACAGCTAATTGGTCCAAATAAACCCTCTGACATGCTATTGGCCAGACTTTATAGTTCTCACTTCACAAACCTGCAGCTACTTTCCAGATGGAGCCACCAGAGACCTGTGAAGGACACAGCAACAGATTTTTTTTTTTTTTTTTTTAACTAAGCTCTCATAACTCCAAGGTAGCATAGAAAATATACAGTGAACAACTGAGCGTGATTCAGAACAGCTGTGGTTTCAGTGCAGATTTTATCCACAATCAGGACAAGTTCACAAGAAATACTGTACATCCTTGAAAGATGCATCACAAGGATGGTTGTGAATGAGTACAGCATTATCCTTCATTCTACAGGGTCTAGGTGACAAAATAACTTTTAGAAATATCCAACTAAAAATATAAAAGGAAAATTCCTTGTTTAAAGCAACATTTGTGTAAATTTAAAGAAGACATTCAACATGCTGATAATAGGTCAGAGTAATCCTTGAGCTCATTTTGTTAAGCTTGGACAGATCACAAATATTTTTTTTAAATATTTTTATTCTTTCTGTTTAGTTAAGCTACGCACTTTGGGAACAGTATGGCAGAGGTGTGGCCAAACAGCAGTTTGTTTTGGTTTAATGCTGGTGCTCAAGAGCGACATCTACTGGATCAAAAAGTCACTCGTGCTTCCTTTAAAGCTACAACAGAAAATGCGTATTAGTTTATTTCGATTCATTTTACACACACTTAGAGATTCTATGTCTGACGCTGAATGATCCCATTTAACATGTTGGCTCATGATGGATTCGCAGGGCAAAGAGGTGTCCAAATCATTATTTTTTTTAAAGGCGATTATTTTCTCAAATTGTGGCATACTGTTTCTGCAGGCAACACTCAGTGCATTAGCAATCAGAGAGAAATTGGGTCAAAATGTGTGGAGGCACTTTCCTCAGCTCTAATGCTCAGAAACTTAACTCTCAAGAGCATGCATCCTGTTAGCAAATGTATTATTATGTAACATGTGTTAGTGCTGAGAGCTTAATGGTATTTAAGAGCTGGCAGAGGAGAAGTGAGAGTAACGTCTGAGAAACACACACATGTAGAGAGATCCTAAGACACACAGCACACCATCAAACTTCATAATAACTATACAACCCTGCAGGGACACAGGTACACACACACACACACACACATGAATTATGTAATGAGCCAGGAGGTGACACTTATTTACATGTGTGCTTGCATGATGTTTCCATTAAGTAATGTCTTTGTCCTAAACAGACAGACAGACAGAGTGAGTGTGTAGATGATCCTGCTTCTAACAGCCAGCAAGCAACCAGATACTGAGGTTTAGTTCTTCCTGTGAAATTGTGCTGTTGATGATTTTAGTGTGAGCGCTGCTCGATCAACCCACCACCTCCCTCTCTACTCTTCCTCCTAACCCCAACCCCACATTACTTTCCCCCTTTGCATGTTTGTTGCGATCTGTGATTAGTGTCTCACCGACTGACACAAATACAGCTGTGTGTGCACGGCCTATGTACAGATACTTAAATCCTCGAAGGCAGGTACCCCAGATTGTAATCTGACTCATATGTTTACAGCATGCTCCAAGGATTAATAAGGGCAGGGACTTTGGAAGTCTCTGTTCATGTTCCAGTCACATTTGTTTTAATTCAGGAAAAATATTCAGCATGCTCTGCCTCAGATCCTTAGTATTTACATTAAATATTCATGAATAAATAGGCAACAAAGTAAAGTAAAAGTTCAAGTTTAATTAAACAATCCCCTCATGAGCCTGTGCCATTAGGACTCTGTTGGTTTGGTTTGAGAAAACATGCATTCTAATGAATCAATGATAAATACATGATTTTTCTTGCATTAGTGTTCAGGGTTTTAAATAATTAGATATCTGCTGTGTTGGTGCAGGAATCAGATTGAAAAGAATGTGAGGGGACAGCAGGGTGTTTAGACTGCAGCCACAAATCAGCTGTGCGTGTGTATATTTGTTACCTTGACCTCAGTCCTAGGGGTCCCAGACTTTCTGATTAAGTAGTTGTAACAGAGTGTTGAGAGCCCATGTTTTCCTGCAGGTACAGCTTTGAGTTATCATCAGTTGTGTTAAAAGTTGTTTAGCTTTTATTCCCGGTAGTATTAAATTTTTTATGTACAAAATGGTCATTCATATAGATTTCTTTTGTAAAGATTATGAACCTCAAAGCTGCAAATCCACACAAAACCCTGTGTGAGCGTGGTTCTCCTCAGAACTAGAATGTTTTCAATCAACACAGAAGCTGCCTATCAACTCATTACTCTATCCTTGTTGTGTCAAAGGTCAGGAGGACGAGGGAGAAATCAAATCTGTCAAGAGGATGATAGTAGACAGCAGTCCTTTGAGGTTTACCTAAAAAAGAATGCAATAAACCTGCACAGTACTCGTACAAGCACCTCAAACCTGCTGCTTAGTGCAGGTCCACAATAGAGAGAAGCAGGAAGCGGTGTGGAGAGTTTCCCAGAAGTAGCATCGCCATAGGGTCTAATGAGAATTCGCCTATGGGATTTTGGATCATTGCAGAAAATAAGCTCTGTGGCATACGCCCGTTTCTGAAGCGTAGGCGTTTTGTTCAGCAGGATAATCTTCACACATGAACACCATTTTTATGACATTTGAAGCGTTAATGCGGCCGACAGAAGTAAAAAGCTAACGTTATGCTCCAAGCGAACTGTACCACGGTCAGATGATTGTGACGTCACTACCGTTATGCTTCAGACGATTTCCGATAAACTAATCCGCGTAGCTTAATAAATTGTTTAATAACCTAAAGATTGCCTTAACCTAAAGATTAAACCTACATGAGACATCTCCGACTAGTGAGAGAGTCTCTGTGTCTGGCGTGATGACGTTTAATGTCCCCGACAACCACTGTAGTCACATTTAGCCACTTGTTTGCAACGCCTTTTTAAAGACGCGTTAAAACTTCAAAATTCACAAGTGGGGGTATTACATAACGTAGTTTATGTGGTCTAACAAAATGCCAACATCTCTTAAGCTTGTGTTAACCACAAACCCATTCAAAATCCCCATTGACTTTTAGACGTTAGACCCCATGGCGCTCAAATGCGAACTTACCTCCGGGTTTCAGGACTCGTTCCTGTGGCGCTCTATAGATAAGCGTTGTTGTTTTTCTTTATGTCTTTGATAGCAGAAATAAAGGTTACCTCTTTCTGTCAGTCAGTCAGTCAGTTAGTCCACCACTTTAATCTTAAATGAAATATCTGACTGTCACATGACATTGATCATCCCTCTCAGCGAGAGGCCGGGTACACTGGACTGGATTCCAGTCAATCACAGGGCTGACATGTAGAGACAGACAACCAGCCACACTCACATTCAAACCTACTGGCAATTAAGAACCATCTGACCTAAGGAGCATTTGTTTGGACTGTGCGAGAGAGCCTGAGTACCCAGAGCATGAACAGGGAGAACATGCAAACTCTATACAGAGAGGCTCCTGTCCGATGGGGATTCGAACCAGGAAACAGCAGGGCTATAACAGCTGTAATTCAGGTTGAGTATTCATACACGTGTTTAAACCCTTACACACAAGTGTAAAATGGCAACATGCAATTTTATAACTGCGTTACACAGCATGTTAAGACTGATACTGTAGTAAGCATTTAGGTCAGAGCTTTGGGAAGATTAAGTACATCCTCACAGAGCTGCTAGTGTAGCTGCAACCTGACTCACACATACAATGATATGTATTGTGCTGAGAGAAAAGGTAATGACGAATAAAATGATGAGGAGATTTTAAACTCTATGGTTTACGATTAATGAGGCATCTGACGTCACTTCTCCTGTTTCTCACCTCCAGTGAAGGGTGTCTGTAAATTGTGGCAGAAAACCTGCAAGGATGGCATCTCACGTTGAGATTCACACGACATTTCTCATGTTGTGTGAGTTCATAATTCATGCTGCTTGTAAATTGGCCAGCTGTAGTCTGCTCAAGTGAGATTAGAGTTTGAAATCGTCGTCCTCTACTCACAAGCTGCACGTTTCCAACGGCATCGTTCTTCACAAACCACAGATTCGTTTAGTTTTCCTTCATCAATAATCCTACAGAGGTGCTGCTTCAGTAACTCTGTTTTCCTGCTATACACTGTATCAGATTGAATTATACAGAATGCACAGTTTGCAATATCTCACCTGTTCACTCATGTATTTCTCATACATCTACAGTGTTTTTTCCTATTATATTTGTCTTTGTGAATCTACAGTGGTGGAGGTATGAAGGTTTAATACAATCCTGAATTATGGGGACTTGGGTAACTATTTTGTATTGCTGTGAAGTCCCAACATGGTTTCCAGCACTTTTTTATTTTCATGAATGCAATCTGGAGGATGGCGATAATGATTTTTTTTATTGCTACCTGAAGTCTGTTAAGGATAATGGAAAATAAAATTATGCCACATTTCTAACAACAGTTCTGCGCTTTCTTTACCCCACTACGCTCTCTGTCCTTCCATCTCTAGATAACAGATACGCCCCTGCAGTGAGTCTGAATGGGTTAATATTCATCCTGGGAGGAGCCTACGCTTGAGCCACCACCATCTATGATCCAGACAAAGGAAACATCAAGGCCAGACCCAACATGAACCACTCTCGGCAATTCTGCAGGTGAGACTTTATTAAGAGAGCAGTGCACTATGGAAGTTTGTCCCTTGGTAAAAAAAAAATAAAATAACAAAGCTGGTCTTGATTTTGATACGGTTGATCAGTAACACTGCTGCCTGTCATGCTGAGGGGAACATAACACATCTGCTAGAAAGGCAGAAACTCACTGCTCCATAACATCAATACAAAAAAATGTATTTATTTATTCATTTATTATAGCCTCAATAACATAAACATATGGCTTGGTTTAAAATCTTTGTAAAGTTATGGGAGATGTTTTTGTGTAAAAAAAGAAAAGAAAGGGGAAAAAAGTTGAAACTGTTCCTCATTGTGTGGACACATACTGCTTGATACAGGGAGATTAATGAACACAAACAACAGTGAGATCACATCCTGATAACATAAATCATGTTGTCAGAGTTATTGATAAGCTGCACCAGCACACAGCAGGCAGCAGTTCTGCTACATTTAACTAAGTCTGACACCAGGAGGAGAGGAGGGAGGGCAGTGAACACAGCAAAAGGAGAAAACACACAAACAATCAGAAACAGCACTATCTGCAGTGTGTGAGGATGACGTCTCGCAGGGTCATCATGCAGGAGAGCTGATATTCTCCCTTCAGTGCGTTCAGCTCTCTGCAGGCCTGCACCTCCCCTCTGTTTATCAGGAGGAGCAGCTCCAGGCTTTACCCTGCACGCTCTGTGTTTTGGATCAGCTGTGCTTTCTCTCTGAGTAGATTGAGGATTAGGCAATAATGTTTTTTCAGTCTCAACAGTGATGCAAATTTGTTCCACAGGACTACATTTTGTAAACTCAGTGTTTTGTTTGTTCGTGTGTGCACCTTACGTATATGCAGATTGTTCGAAACCCCAATAGGGGTACAAAGACTAAATCAGCTCACAGCCACAGTTTTAATCCTGTCTGCACACATACTTCTGTTTGTGTTCCTCATATCAAACGAGCACATTTGTACAGATGTTTGCTTTTTCAGTACTTCCCACTCCTGCCCTGAGAGGGGATGATAACCCAGTGTGTATGTGGTTTTTGTTTTTCCTATCTGATAAAGTAGCTTTGTGGCTATGTTGAGATGTTGGTTGGATGATATCAAATTAACTCAATGTGGCCCCAAGCGAGACAAGCAGCATATTTTATGGAGATGTTGTCTCCAGACTGGCTTTGTTGTCGTATCCAGAAAAACAATAAGCAATATTCCTGCTGGTGGGAGTCACAGCAATCTCATATCAGAGCTCCGTAAGCTCTTGCACTTGCATTCACCCACTTATCTGCCTAACACAGTTTCTCCTGTTGAGTAGACTTTAGCTCTTTCCACTGCTGCAGGAACTTTCCCTGATCCCAGGAATTAGGGATCAGTGGATCATCACAGTGTGTCTGAGCCACAGGCACTTGACTTAATTCCCCCCCCTTAATTTATTTAAATCAGTACAAAACAGGTGTGGCTCCTCACACATCAGCATACTCATTTGTTTATTCTTTAATGGTCTTTTGGTGTTAGTTGAAAATACAGACGATGATGTCCTGGAGGAACATTTTTAACCCTGTTCAGAACCTCCTAGAACTCAAAATCCTGCCTTCTATTGGTGTTAATGTGGTTTTTGCTACACAGAGCCAGGCTAGCCATTCCCCAACGTTTATAAGCTTTGTACGAAGATAGCTGGCAAATACAAGAGTGGTATCAACCGTCTGATCTAACCAGAAACCTGTAGTTCCAAAAATCCAAAGTTATCTTATGAAAGATTCTCAGATTAAAAGAAGATAACCAAAATATCTAAAATTATTTCTATGCAGTGATCTTAGAAGGGAAGATCTACGCCACAGGAGGCATCGTGAGCAGCGAAGTCCCGCACTCAGCAACTTGGAGACCTTCGACCCCTCACACGCATGTGGACGCACCTGCAGCCCCTACCCTGCCCGCTGTTCAGACACGGCTGTGCGGTCATCAAGAAGTACATCCAGAGCAGCTGAGGTCGACTTGGACCCGATTAGTCTGGGATCGATGCCCAACACCAACTGACCTCTGGTTGAAGGACGATGTGTGACAGCAGTTTAGGGCTGGTGTTGGTCGATCTTCAGTCCAACCCACCTCTTCTCCCAAACTACAGAAAAGCCCTGTGCAGAATGTACTCATACTCAATTACTCAGCCATGTCAGGTGACGATGCCTAACCTTCAGTATTGTGTGTGCCATGGTCGTTTTTCATCCTCCATCCAACAGGCACAGGGACCCTCTTGGTAAACTCCTTTTTTTTTAATGAAGTCATCATTGTTTCAGTTATTTTTTTGTAAACTCATCCCCTCCATATTTCTATACTTTGATGAAGCTCAGTAAAAGCCAATGCAGGGTGACATTTCTGTAATAATGTTTGACAGGGGAAGGTTTTAAAGTCTCATCAAACAGAGCAAAGATTCTTTTGGTGTAAGAAGTGTTTTCAGTAGTCGAATTAAGTGAAGGAATTGACTGTTTTTCTCTTGTCAGTGAAGATAAAAGTCTCTTTGGGGAGTTATATTCACACTGTGAGTGTGGATTTTAAGAGGTAATTTTTATAAAACACATGTATGTGTTTACATATGTTTACACATTTATGTAAACTAGTTCTTTTGAACTTGGTTGACTTGCTTAACACAGGAGAGGCCATGAAATGTTGGACAGGTGAGATCTTTATTCTTTGTTTAATTCCAGCCTGATGGTGACATCATCTGGTGATCTGTTTTTGCTTCATTTCATTCATACTCTGTTTCTCTTAGGGACAACTATACAATTATACTGAGAGAGAAATAAATTCATCAAGTTCAACCCTGCTACATGTGCTCCAGAGGGAAAGAAAAGCACAATAACCACATGCGTCTGTTGGCATACAAGTTATCTGTTGAACCATGTTTTATTTATTTCATTGGTTTTCCTGAACCATTCTTTGTACGAAGTGTTTGATTTATACTCACGAAAGAAGATTGGTTTGTATTCTGTAAATACAGAAAGGAATGTATATTTTTTCAAACCTGAAGCTCTGTGTAAATGTTTCTAGAAAAAAAGTTGATTTTGAAATGTTATGACTGTAACTCTGTATGAAAAGAGGAGAACTGAACAGTTAATATTAAATCCTAACACATATGTCAAAACATTTAAAGTGTATCATGTTTTTTGGGGCGTTAACTTTATAAAGAGTTTTTCATCTTAATCTCAAAAAGCTATCTACTGTTTACAGCTTTGAGTTTGGGCTTCCGATGTGTACTTGCTATGATTCATGGGAAAAAAGTACATTTTCCACCATGTTTTTGCACCGCTGGACTGCGCTCGCTCTGCCCCACTGGGTCCATTTCTAGATCGTGAGCTCAGCCATGACAGCTGTACAAACATCACTGTACAAGATCACGCGTGAGTAGAGAGAAAAATGTGCAGACAACATGTCACTTCTTCGTCTTTCTGAGGTTGCTTTGCTGTTTGTTTGGGGTGTGCAGATGCTGGCACGTGCCGGAGACGGGCGGGGAGCTCGCTGTGGAAACGGGAGCCTTGATTGTTGCTTGGATATTGAATAATGAAGTATAAATTGATACTTTACGATGAGACTTTCAGAGCAAATTTTCGGATTAAAACGATGGTCTCTTCAGACACGCCTACTTCTACCCTCTTTTTGTTTGATGAGGTCAGGAATCAGACGCTCCTTTGCTCTCCTCCAATCAGGGTGTCTTTGTGGTCCTGGGCTGTTCCAGATCCGTCTCACAGAGATGTACCAAAGAAAAATCCTCTCCATCTCCTGCAGACACACTAAAATCGACACACACTGCTTAGTCACAACAAAAACAGTAAACTGGATTGTGTGTATAAAGCGCCTGTGCATTTGGGTTTTTTATATTACTTTGATATTTCCACCAGCAAACAGCTTTTACCATGGTAAATGATGTAAAATGAAGCAAAGCGGTGCTGGAATGAAGCGGGTGATTTTTTTGCAGCACGAGAGAAGCAGATTTGACACTGACTCAATATGAACAGAGCCGCAGGAAAAGAGATGGATGTTAGCCTGTAATAGACCACGATTAATACCTTGAAGATGTTACACTGTGTGTGTTCTCCTATCTGAATGGTTGAGTCAATTCGACATGAAACGGGGATCGGGTAGCAATTTCAGCAGCTACAGAATACCTTGAAGATGTTACACTGTGTGTGTTCCTATCTGAATGGTTGAGTCAATTCGACATGACACGGGGATCGGGTAGCAATTTCAGCAGCTACAAGAAAAAACTTTTAAATAAAAACTTTACAGTAAAAAGAAATTGCACTCTTCAAGAGATTAAGGACTCTTATAACGGGAGAGATAGTCCCCCACAAAACATTTGAAATCACACCAGCGTAGAACAAAATAATATTTTAAAAATAAAAGTCAAAGTGAATTAATTGGTCATAACATCTCGTTAACTGATAGAAGGAGATGTAACTCTGACACATGGCTGTCTACCTACACCCCTTCCTACTGTGCATGATGTGCACGCAGGTTGTCATGTCTCGGACACGGAAGCTTCAGTGTTTAGTCTGCTCTTAGTCGGTATTGAAACCTTTCTGCGTTCTAACCTCTCTTCATTTTTCAATAGCATCTCCAATATTGATCCTAGTTTTACAACGTTTCTGGTCATGGAGCTTATTAGAGAAATGCTGAGGCTTTTCAGGTCGGGTAGAATCAGTTATATGAACCAGTTCGTTTGCCTGCTTCTGTCAATGCAACGCCTGTCAGTCTGGCGTTTGACTGGCAGACCGAGGGTCTTCCAAAACGGCCGAGTGGGGGCGCCTTAAAACCAACTCCCTTCTCTGGTAAAAACAAAAACAGACCATACAGGAACCAGAAGTCTAAACTTAGGACATACTGGCTACTGCATTGTAATTAGAGAAGCCAGCACTTCAACATAGCATATTTCTTAATGTCTGATGATATAGTAAGGTCATTTGATAATTTCATTAAGTGGATAACTTAATATTTATCCTTTAAATGAATGAAATAACACTTTATTAAATTAATATCAATGCTTTTCTTTGCAGTAAAAATATGTTTGAACGTCACTTACTTAATATCTTGTTTTTTATGAAACGTCTTTCTCAGAGGGATAAGCTCAGAGCGCTCTTGAATATTAGGCTTCTCTGAAAACCTGAGTGCTACTTTCATTCAAACCTGTGTTGGCTGCAAACTGGCACTGCATTCATATTAAGATCAATTCTGATGTTCAAAATCATTAAACGTTCGACTTGTACTAAAGTTGAATGAAACTTTAAGTGAAGAGTGGCAGAATGTTCAATTGAAGATCTTGACATGAAGGAAAGCATCACTTAACTCTGAATACATTCACAAGGTATCAGGACTGATGCCATTCTGCATGCTACTTTAACTTTTATAACATAACTTAATCCAACAGCAGGTCACCCAAGCTTTTAACTTCTGATGTAAAAAGGTATGAAAAATAAAGCTCAGTTGCGACTGAATTAAAGTCGCTCACATGGAAAATTCCCTGAAAGCTTCAGCTCATCTGACGCAGCCCGTGTTTAGACACATTGATGCTTTTAACACCTTCCTCTTTGCCGTGTCTCGCTCTACGCCCACACACACACCAACATGCAAATAAACTCTTCACCGCTTTGACGCGTGCACCTCTGATCTGGAGTCTTTGGGCCTGAAGCCCTATCACCTTTTCATCCCTCAAACACAGGAGAAAATCTAACAAACCTCCTGCACCTTCACTCTATGTCTGAATCTACTCCGTCTTACTAACACAATGCCTGTAGAGTACTTTTCTCTCTAGGTAGCAAGAAAGTTAGATTCCTGTATCCCCCAGTAGATATGGCAAAATAATGAATTGTACTTGCAAAGAGGTCATCAACATATAATCAGAGAAAACCAGTTATAAACTATTTTGGTGTATCCGCCTTCCTTGAACCTGTCTTTTCTACTTTTTCACAGATCCATTTTCCATAACCCAGGGGAAACTGGGTTCTCTGCTGTGTGTTTGTGTAGGTTATGAGAGCAAACAAGGCTTTTTTTCTGCCAGAAAAAAAACATTTTGAAATGGAACGATATTGTGTGCTGTATCTAGATAAAGATGTTTGCCAGGCTACAGGCAACATTCTCCCAATGATGTAAGCTTTAGCTGCAGTACATTATGTGCTGTAGAGACTGCTGTCAGAGAAGGTTGTGTCTCCATGTTCATCATTTGTAAAAAAAAAAAAAAAAAAAAAAATTCTAGTCTGACACCAGATTTAAGGAGCGTGCATGAAAAAGAGAACCTTTATGTGACGTAAACTTATCCACATTTAAACATCTATATACAATATTCACAACAAGAAACGATAATGGCTAAATTGTATCCAGCAATTCTTAAACTTCTTTCAACAAGGATGCCAACAAAAATATTGAAAGTCCTGCAGACCAAAATATTCTGCAAAAAGATGCTAATAAGCAGGGAAATAACAATCCCTTATCAGCTATTGTGATCAGTGCATGTAAAGGTATGTCAATGCACCCCTCCAAGTCAAAGGTCAGAGGCTTCTATAAAGCTGAAATTGTTAAGATCCACAACAATGAATGATTAGGGCTCTAAATGGTTTTATACATTTAAATAGTTCCTACTTTGTGCTTTATCTACTGCTAAACAATTTACAAAAGATTTCTAAAGCTCTATTTTATACACTTGTCTGACATAGTGAAGCAACTAAAAACTTGATGTGGATATGTTTTATTTCCTGCCAAAACAGTCAAAAAACTAAATAATTAGGGCCCGAGCACCTACCTCGGAGCGAGGACCCAATTGAAACAGAAGGAGTTATTATTCTCCCTCACCACAATGAATCACTTATTTGGGGGCTTTAACATGCACGAAAACTCACCAAACTTCACTCAAAATTCAGCCTCGCCTGAAATTTACATATGAAAGTGGTTCAGTGCATGGGTGTCGTCGAAACGTACTTAGTGGCCACTCATTCATTGTGTTCACACGACAAGCGCCGCGGTCTGTCTCAGTCGCGTGCCACCAACAGCACTATGCTCTGCTCCGTTTCAAATGCACTGCGAGTCAATTTTGCCACTCGTGTAGCATATGCCGCAACACATAATTGGACGAGGACGGAATATGACACTCATATGCTGCAGAATATGCCACTCATATGCCACTTGTGTGCCGCGGCATGTGCCGGACTGACACTGCACATGAGTGGACCAGAATGCCATATGCCACTCATATGACACGACATATGCCACTTAAATATAGCCTGCCTCCGTCCGCTACTCTCATTTTCTGCTGCTGAAACCCTAATCCATGCATTCACCACATCCAGACTTGACTATTGCAATAGCATCCTTTTCGGCACATCATCCAAAGTCCTTAATAAACTTCAATACATCCAAAACTCTGCTGTACGCCTCCTCACCCACACCAGAACACGCGAACACATCACCCCTGTCCTGCAAAATCTCCACTGGCTCCCTGTCCCTTACCGTATCCAATTCAAAATCCTTCTCCTCACACATAAAGCCCTCAACCACCAGGCCCCCTCCTACCTCACGGCTCTCCTTCACCCTCACACTCCTGCACGCAGCAGCCGTTCTTCAAAAGCCAATCTCCTATCTCCCCCTCTTAGAACCAAGCACCGAATTACCGATTATTATTATTATTATTATATCCACTGTCCTATCTGTACAATAAAGGCACGAGAGGCTTTATCCTAAGACGTATTAACTAAATTGTTGCTGATGTTTTCTTCTTCCGTCAATCAACTGATTAGCATTGAGCCCTCGTCTTACAGAAGACTATTATCGGATGAATCGCTTTGCGTTATGGGATGTGATGGCATTAAATATTTTAATACAAAGCTACTGGCTTTACTAAAAATCCTCATAGAGGAAGGAATTTTGAAAAGCATGATGCAAAAATGTGGATGAACCACTGGTCACACAAGCTAAAAGCTATTGTCTGTTCTTGGAGATGAAGCATTTGGAGTTAAACTGTATTCAAAAGCAATTAATATCAGAATGACAGCTAATTTAGGTTAATCATAATTAGTAGCAAGTTTACATTTCACTGTTACTTTAA